CCAAATGTACAGGAACCTACATCTTCCCGGTCTAGGTAAGCGTCGTACCATTGCGTTCATGGGATCACAGAACTCCACCTAAGATCGTCAATGGCTTCGGTCACTTCCCCTCGCTCCTTCGCCGCACCACACCTCTTAAACCTTTCCAACTTCTGGTCTGCTCGGGCGACGTAAGACCTACTCGACGTCTCCAGCCTACCATGTTACGCCCATTTGTCGTCCTCACCTCAACGGCATCAGATCCGCACTCTCTGCTCTCGACCTGGTCTTGGCGCGACAAAAGACCCCCAGTCGACCCCATGCATTAGGAGGGGTGACTACAACATTTCCACATAGACGTCGTCGCCAACATCGTCGTTACAACGTCACTTCCTTCAAACAAATAAATCTACGTTGTTTGGGTGCTAAAGGACGTAAAGACTCAGCACTTTGCTTGTCTCCCAAGGCACACTAACAATCCAGTTCTTTCCACCCTTGTGAAAGAAGGGCTTCCTTTTCGTAAGTCAGAACATTCCAAACTCCGAACTTCCACTACTCCGTCTGGTTAGGTGAGTCTCTACAGTCGGTTCGTCCGTCTCTTACGCACGCTGCTGGATCCAAGAAGACCGCCCCTTCCTGTCTTAATCAACCCACAGCAGTCGCATCGTCCACCATTACTTTTTTGGGTACGGCCCATTACTGTCTAGTCTCGCTCAAACACTGTTCCTCTTCTCTTCCCCTGGTTCTTGTCTCGAGACTCCCTGGACATAATTACTGTTCCCAGCCTGAGACTTGGAGAGGTTCAATGGGACATCCACGCCAGGAACTTCCATACTTCCACTCCTCCTTCACGCTCGGACTTTGTGGTTCAAAAACCTATCAGCTTCCTCCTAGGACCTACCAAGTGTGTACGCTTAACGTCGTCTGTCCAGGTCTTCCCTACTACTGTCTCCTTTCTCCCTACGACGAAAATCGCACCGTTCAAGGAGACTTCTTCGCTCCCTCTTTCCGTCAAGACACTCACTGTACGAACTTTTGTCTGACCACACCTAGTGTCTTCCACAAGACTACCTCTATTGTCCTCTCCACAAAATTTCTGTCGGCGCAAGTTCAAAATCTGTCTATGCCTTCCTCTCTGTGTTCCGACATCAATATTGTAGTCTGCCCAACTCTCACCCGAAAGAAATCCTCTTCCCAAATGAGAACGGAGGAACTCTGACCAAACCCTTCCTGGCTTCAATCTTCATTCTAAAACTACTTGACCCACTCTTGCCATCTAAGTCCTCGCTATCAGGACTCCTCGAAACCCCCCCTCATCCCAGGTCTCCTTGTCCACATCCTTGCCCGTCTCACATTGCTCCCATTTTTGGAGTGACCTTCTCTCCCTCTTCCTCCCAGTCACACACCCACTTTCCACCCAGGACCACTGCGGTCGCCACTCATTTCACTCAGTCTTTTTCTTCCTCGCTATNAGGGAGGTCCAGTGGTTCCTAAGCTAAAGGAGGTTATAAAGGAAGTTTGAAACCTCCTTTCCTATCATTCTAGAGAATTCAAACGGCACTTATCATGGCTGCCACTGAGGGACTTCTGGGTCATTTCACTCCGTTAGGAAGGTTCCTAAGCTAAATGGACTATTCGACTTCAGCCCAGGGACATTCAGGAGGCTCTGTTGCGTGTGAACAGACGCCTCTCGCAACTGTCTTAACGTTGTTAACTGTGTACCTTGTGTGGTCGTGTTATCATTATTGTGACTAGTGGTGTTTGTGTTAGGATAGCCTTAAGCTGAACTGTTGTCCTACCCGATACAGTAGCTGTGTTTTGTTACAGTCTCCTTTTGTTGGTAGGTTTTGTTTGTAAACCTTTATTCTTATTTGATCAGGCTCCCTTTGTTAGAGTCCTCTTTTTGTTTGCTCTTTAGCTAAACCTGCGCCCTTTTGACCACTTTTGTTTGTGGCCGGCTGTTCGCCTACCTTTTTGTTCACCTGTTGTATAAATCAACACTTAGACCAGTATGGAATTGGTAAAGTTATATGTTAATCTCCTCTACCCTAGAGGGGGGGCGTACACACACACACACACACACACCATGTTTACATCACTTCAGGGGACATTACATTGACTTACATGCATTTCCTGAAGACTTATCCTAACCTTAACCATAACCAACACATGCCTTACCCTAACCAAGTCTTCACCCTACAATTAATGATTCCCCTTATGGGGACCTCCATTTTGTCCCCATAAGGCAAGCCAGTCCCCACACGTGACTGTCTAAACAGATGTTGGTCCCCACAAGGATAGTAATGCTAGGCACACACACACACACACACTTTTTGTCCAACACGCTAACAGTTCTTTGTGCTGTTATGTTCAGTCATCGTTCTTATGTTGAACGTGAATACATTTACTTTGTAATTAATTATGGGACGTATTTCTTCTTTCCTAGCAATTTTCCTTCATGCTTTCTTGCCGTGAAATAGGTCTTAAATTCTATTCAAAGTGATGTTAAAAAGTCTTCCATTTGAGTTGGTGAAACCTGCAGGAACCCTGTATTTAAATAACTCAGTTGTATACCTCCCTATACAACGCGTTGCTGGGCAGAGTATCTCTTCTGTCTCTCTGGGGTCTTCCCTTTCATCCAGTTCCTCCTGTTCTCCCCTCATTAGAGATAGATAAGCAGACTGGGAATTGCACGGACATTTGTTTTATGAGCTGGAACAAACAAATGAGATGTAAAGCAGCCGATGATGAGAGCGGTATCAAAGGCCTTAAGTGCTCTCAATACTGTGTGACTTTATTATGCCTCTGGGATTTCTCATGGTTGAATTGTATATCAGCAGATGACTTTTGCACACATTTGAATGATCTATGGGTAGACGTCATTCCTCTTGTCTTGCTTTCCTCGTGATAAGTCAAATGTGATGGAAGGAGGCTAAACTGGCTGCAGTGTATTTGCTTTGAAGTCAGTGCCTCGCCGCCAGCTAACCAACAAGCTGTTTGAGCTTTAGGGGGATTAAGCTTTGCAGCCAACTTGCTTTTGTTAACAGTAGTCAAATCACACAGAGCTGACATCCTGGAAAACATTTTGGTAAGTTTGTATGTCCTGTAAAGTAAAACATCCGATATACAAAATGGCCGCTTTATTAGACAACACTGTACAATATATAGCGCTTAATTGGTGTTTAAGTGTAAACGCTCTTGTGTATTATTAAGGTAGTAGTTAGAAGGTGGTGTTTAGTACATCACTGCGTTACATTGAGGTGTGGTTTCTAAAAATTGCCCTACCGTGTTCACAAATGTATAATTTAACTAACACCTCTATGAAGGCGTCTACAAGCCTTAAACTAGGACTGACTTAGTGTTCATCGTAGATTAATTGCTTGTGTTATAACATTTAAGAAAATTGTGAAAATTGCCCCTTTTCAAGAGCCGACGGTGACATCTTTCAGCCGACCACAATCCCAATCCCAAATATACTCAGTTTACTCTCATATTTGGTAAAGAAAAGCATTACATCTTCACATCTGAGAAGCTGGAGCATTGTCGAATGCAAAAAGGGATAGCGGATGAATTGACGATCGATCAATCAACCCGGCATTTCAACTTTCAGCTCGGTACAGCACAGCAGCAAATAATACAAATGTGAAGAAGTGGAAAACAACTGGCCTTTGTGGAATGTCTCTCTCACGTGTTTAAGGTCAATATGCCGAGCTGTTTCACATGACTGCGTGAACTTATCAACTGTTCCCCTGACTGCATTTGAATATCAGTGTTTGTATTATGTTAGTGCTCCTCCTAATCCTGGTGCTGTGCGGTCCTTACATCCTGCTATTAGGCACACTTTGTTGGCGTGTTTGTAAAGTAACTGGATACCCCCCCCTCTCGTCTTTCTCCCCCCTGCAGGTGCTCTGAGTTTGGTCGGGCTGTATCTACTGTTTGGATTTGGAGCCTCACTGCTCTGCAACCTGATTGGATTCGCCTATCCAGCATATTTCTCGTATGTATAATAATAATACGTTATTATAGCACCTTTCACAGAAATAGAATTCACAAGTAAGAACAAAAGTTACAATTAAGACCACAGAAACATGAATGGGGCGAAGCCTGCGAGCTAGTTCAGGAAGTCAACTCGAGCACCAATGATACATTAACACGTGACGCACCTCGTCCCTCTTACAACCAACCAAACACATTCTCCTAAACATGCCGCTCTATTTAAGCTGCCAGGTCTTCCTGCCTCTGCCTCCTCGCTATGCTGCTGCTGCCAATGCTGTGTTCGCTTGCTATTGCTGCGTTCATGTTCCTGCTGCTGTGTTTCATGTTGCTGCTGCTCGCCTGCCCCCCCACCACCCCAGCTCCACCCCAGCTTCCACCTGTAGTAGGGCTGCTCGATTATGGCAAAAATCATAATCTCGATTATTTGGGTCAATAATTCATATCACGATTATTAAAAACGATTTTTCAAAGTAAATGGATAATCGTTTTTAATAATCGTGATATGAATTATTGACCCAAATAATCGAGATTATGATTTTTGCCATAATCGAGCAGCCCTACTACAGGTGGAAGCTGGGGTGNCACCTTAAATACTCCTTCAAACACACCTTAAATACTCCTTCAAACACACCTTAAATACTCCTATAAAAACACCTTTAATTCTCCTTAAATACTCCTTCAAACACACCTTGAATACAACTTAAAAAACAGCTTAAATACTCCTTCAAAAACACCTTCAAAACACACCTTAAATACTCCTCAAAACCACCTTAAATACTCCTCAAACACACCTTAATAAGAGATTGTGTTTATGCAAAATGAACTATGATCAAAGCCGAGGTTATAGATCAAGGAATACAGTTTCTGAGTTCACAGAAATATGAAAAAAACAATTACAGAAATCACTGGCGCGTCAATATTATAATTTGATCCAAATCAAATCCCACTTCCTACTGGAGAGGGCCCCTGAAGAAAGAGAAACACATCTGGAGGTTTAAAGATAAGACAGGCAGACACTTGTTTAGTTCATTAAGGTTCCAGTTTTATTATTTCATCATAGTGAGAAGATAAATTAAGACATATCAAAGGCAATAGTTAAGATTGAAAACCTCCCATTAGCTCACGCAGACTTTAAACACGTATTAGCAAATAAAGGAGTAGAGCTTTAGAGAGCAAGAACACATTAATGACAAGTTCCAGTTTTGATTAACAATGCTAACAATCGTTGTTATCGGTAATTAAAAAACAACCTGCTTTGTAACCTGTGCTGTTTTCTGTCACAAATGGCTTCGATAGACACAATAACATTGACTGCTGAGAGCTTACAGGCACACAAACGTAATGTCTGCCATCAACACGGTATGTCAAACATAGAAATGGATGTCACATAAAAAGGTCACAGTTTTTCAGATTGTCTTGGCAGTACCGATGGCCGTAAACTAATGGTGACGCACAGACAAGCTTTGAATGTTTTCACGAGAGTTAAGCTTCAGTTCACCACGTGGCGCGGGGGCTCAGCCTCACTCGTCACGGAAATGGAAGGGAGGGCAAGACAGAAGCAGAAAACAACAAACCCACACATACTCTCACTTAGTCACTCTTTCAATCACACACACACACACACACACACACACACACACACACACACACACACACACACACACACACACACACACACACGACGTGTTTCTCACTGGTCCTTTTCATGGTTGAGGGCCAGGTTAACAGCTGGTGGAACAAACAGAGAAAAAAAACGTTACTTCCTTGGCTTTACTTCCACAGTGTAAATCTAAGGGGTGATGGCGGGGTTGTGTGTTATCGGGGATGACGTATTTTTGTCTATTGATAGATTCATGATTCGAAAATTTGAAAAAGTAGGGTAGACATGTGGAGATTATCGGGCTGAACAAAACGTGCATTTATCAAACAGGTTGGTTTTCCACAGATCTATTTTTTTTACAATATTCCAAAATCCTATGGAGAAATCCCGTTGCTTTGTTGTCGACGGAACCCAGCTTACTTCCGGGTCGGCCTACAAAAATACGTCATCACCGCACCACTCTATTGCAGTTGATATAGTATGTGGCTCTACTTGCATGTACACTGAGATCTCACCCTCCTTTGTCACCGACTCCGTTATGTTCTTAGCCTTGGCGCTCAGATCGCTGACCATAGTCTCCATGGCGGCCTGGTGCTTCAGGAAAAATGGCCGGATCACACGCTTGTACAACATGTCGGAGCCGTTCCACGTCACCGGAGCCATGCACCAAATCAGGAACAGACACTGAGGAGGAAGCAGAGAGCAGATCTTAGATATCACTTCCTGTCTGAAGTGACACATGTCCGGTTCGTTATCTTTCGCGATAATAATCGGACTGCTTTTGGCATTTAGACAGTTGGTCTGGGTGCCTTGTTTCAGAATATTTCACCGTTTTCTGACATTTAAAAAAGATCAACTGATTAATTTACGAATTGAAAAAATACCCTGACTACTACTTTCATTTCGAATTAATCTGCAGTTATTTTTTTTTTTTTTACAATTTGTTGAAAAATGTTGCATTAAATGAAAAGCATTTCTGTGACATGCCGACTATCGTGTTATTGCAGGCCAGTGGAAATGAACCATCACTATAAAAGGCACTGTTTCTTAAATCTGATTCTTACCTTTAGAGATATTAAACATTGTTCAGACCTCGTTTTAGAGGTTTTCTTCACATTTTAACATTAACTAGAGAGCGTGATGTCACAGCTAGAGGGTAGAAAATCTTGAAATGTGCCTTCATATATTTTTTTAAAACTGCCATAATTCCCAAACCCTACATTCCTGAGACATCATTTATCATGACAAACGTAGGAAAACATCTCGTAGCTTGAAAAATGACAAATAATTAAGCAAAAATAATTAAACAAATTGCTTTTTGAGGGCATGAAGTGACAAAAACGTTCAACATTCCTCCATTAAACCCCATTGTAATTTCAGTAATTTCAATATTGAGATCAAAATGACTACTGCAACTGGTGGGGATTCATATCTCCCGATGAACCCTATGCAGATATACAAACCAATATTCATAGTAAGCAGCTAGTCTCCAGGCATTTTATCGTCATATTTTAATAAAATACTAAAGTCCAGTAGTGCCACCGTTCACAATGAGCTGTTCTTGATTTGCAATGTAGCTTTTTGGTCAGAAGCAACCCAAACTAAGTGCATTGAATCATGTGGGTACAACCCCAATAAGTGTGTAAGTTTGATCAAATATGCTGATCTACTTCAAGTGTTGTATGTTATTTTCTACAATGCATTGAGGGACAATGGTGTCTTTAGAATTTGCGTACAGACTTTTTTGTTGACTAATTTTGTCCCTTTGAACATACAAAATATGCAGAAGTTGGTCAAACGTGTTAAGTAATGGGCCGAAACACAGTCTGAAGGTCTTCCTCATTGTGACTTTACACAAATTGTCCACTAGAGTGCGCTGTTGGTGTCCGAGTCCATCGACTGGATTCAACATATTGTGAACTTTGGCTTCACGGTTAAAACAGACTTATACAGGGTGCAAAGAAAAAGGAACGTTTGCTCAATGAATAAGGTGTAAAATATGAACCCATACACAAAAGTTTAAAACGTATTTTAAAAAGGACAGCCGACCTTGCTGGCGTAGTAGAAGGGAAACCAGAAGAGGAAGATGTCGGAGAAGGCCTCGACGATGCTGAAGAGTCCATACACCACCCAGTAGGTCAGCCACTGCGTGTCGTCCTCCTTCACATTGCTTTCGATGGCCTTGATGCTGACAGGACGACACAGATTGATGGAGGTGTTAGCATCAACACAACATACTGCAAACCCTAATACTCTTTTTTTTAAGATGTGGTAGAATTTGTACTCAACATGCTGGGTTTTCGAAACATTTAACTCACCAAATCACATTTATTCCATCTGTCACATACTTATGTATATACACCTTGCTTTATATCTTGTTATTGTTCATTTGTAAATTCAACATGTATATTTTCTACTTTCTTTTAATTGCCATGTCTTTTTATGCTGCTGCAACACAAAATGTCCCAGATTGGGATCAATAAAGTTCTATCTTATCTTGTTGTATGTAGCCTTCAGGTTCGTTTGCAAAATATAAAAAAAACACATGGTCTGTTTAAGCAGCACTTAAAGGTGGGGTAGGTAAGAATGGAGAAACCAGCTCGAGTGCGCTAGAATTTGAAAATACACAACCGGAAAAAATCTGCCACTTCCTTCAGACTTCCTTACAGAGCCCCTCCTCCAACACACACGAACGCGCACATGACCAATGAGGGCACGAGATAAGTTTGTGCACAGATGGAAGGCTGACAGGCAGGTAACCCATTCCGTTATTTTTAACCGGGCCGGCTCAGATGATTGGTCGTGCTTTTTATAGAGCTGCTGTTCCACAGATGATATATTTTTTATGTATTTATTGTCAAAGCATTTAATGTATTCATTGCTATCGGGATGTTAAGAGCATTCCATGGAATATAACAACAAGTGTTTCTGAAGTGAATTACCTACCCCAGCTTTAATGCATAGGTTCTTGTGGGGCTGCACTAAGTGTCTCTGAATACAATACAAGATGTACATTAAATGACTTGTTGGCCATTTCTTACAGAGCTAAAATGTATCCCTTCCTAACTCAAATGTTTTGTTGGGTTAAAAAAAGTCACTGTTTTTCTAAGTCCGCGCAAAATTCATTCAGAAGTTCAGCTAAAGCTAAAATGTATCAGAACGCAGGCTGAGCCAAATTGTGTGGGGAGTTTCCAAAGATGCCAGTCGATTGAGTTCAAAAGTCTCAACTGATTGTGTTGCGGACAGTGTTTTTATGACTGAGCTGCAGTAGAGAGGTAGAAAACACAGAGTGAGATGTGCACTAGAGGATCAGTAGGAAGAGAGCACTTTATGATCCTTAAGGGGAGGATTAATGATTACAGTGAGCAGTACGTTTCACAGTGTATAAAAGTGTCAAAACAAAAGTAAAAGTGTTTTTTCACATCATAATCTTTTAACCTTTCTAGAACATCAGAGACATGAATTAAAAAGTGAAGAACATATTCACACCAGTGTAAAAGAAACATTGTTAGTAGTCTAGAAATCCATGTAATTGTAATATTAAAAAGGATAAAATGTGACTTTTTAAGGGCCGTATTGATTCGCAAAAGGTGAGACACAGAATGAGATTTAATAATGAACGAAGGCTCCATTCCATTTCGATGTTTCATTAACACAAAGTGATCCTACTTGCAGTGGAGGTAAGGTCACTTTTTGTTATTAGACATACCTGCTTACATTGCATGTTCTAAATAAATTATCTTTCTATATATTGTGTTGTTTTTACATTTACTAAAATAATCATTTCCTTACATTGGCTCCCAACTCGTTTTAGAATGGATTTGAAGGTTCTGGTTATTAAGATAAGAGAGAACTTTATTGATCCCAGTTTGGGACGTGTTTGTGTTGCAGCAGCATACAATACAAATGAAAAGACAAGAAAGTGGAAAATTCACATGTTGAATTTACAAATGAACAATTACATATAGAGCCTCGCGTGGAAATGCACTGGAATATATATGTGACCTTCTCCATCCTTTCATCGCTCTGCAGTCTCTGTAGAAGCTTTTAAAAAAACTACTGAAGAACTATCTTTTCACACTGGCTTTTATTTCTATTTGAAATGTGTGTGATGTGTTCTGTTCTTATGTTTGTTCCTTTCAGGACTCCACGTGGTCTGTGTTTTGCTTTTATGTTGACCTTACATTTCTGCCTCATGTGGTTACTCATGTGGTTTAGTCAGACAACACACGTGTTCCCTAATATGTTTATTAGAAGCATATAGTTTGAGTTTGGCGTTTAGGCTCGGGCCTCATCACTCCACGGATGTACATAGAACATTGAGTGATGATTAGATAACTATCCCCTGAGCCTACAGGATAGGGCTGTTCAATTAATCATATTTTAATCGCAATTACGATTTTGGCTTGCAACGATTATGAAAACAACATAATCGAAATAAAACGATTTTTTATTTTTTTTTATTGGTTTTTCAGTTGAATTCTACTTAAAGTTCAGGGTC